TTACTTGCCCTTTTTTATTTCTTCATCTGAGAAGTGTGTAATCATCTCAGATGCCCATTTTTGGATTGGGTCTTTGAATTTCGAGGGTCTGATTTTTTTGAATTCTTTATATGTTCTAGATTGAAGTCCTTTGTCTGAGGGACAGTTTCACTAAGATTTTTTTCCAAATTTGTGGGTTTTCTTTTCACTATGCTGGAGATTTCTTTCAACATGCAAAAACTCTTTAATAAGACATGATCCCAGTTATTGATTCTGTGGAGTATTTTGCGTGCAGTTTGGTTCCTGTTCATGAATTCTCTACCTACCCCTATGTCTTCAAAATTTCTACCTACTTTGTCTTCCAACAGATTTAGTGTTTTTGCTTTAATATTTAGATCTTTGATCCATTTAGGCTTTAGCTTAGTACATGGTGATAGGCATGGGGACTTTACTGAAGTCAAAAGGTTATTAGCATCATCAAGGTTTAAACTATGAATCAGTCTAATTTTAAAGCATATATTCTTTTTTTATAATGAAAAATTATGTTATAGCATGCTTTTACAAACCAAATATTAAGATTAAAATTTAATTTTAGCATATTTTACAAATTCTACCTGCTTACTTTTAAATAATCTAAATTACACACTAACAGTTCAATATATTTTACACACACTTCTGATGTTTAAACACCAGTGATCTATTAATACAACTATTACTACAAAACAAATTTAGATAGAGGCCTTACATCATTTTTTCAGCTCACTTTAAATGCATCAATCATTAACAATTTTTGCACTGTATTCAAAAACACTGTCCACAATTTCTTTATTTATAGTAAAACAAATATTTTGTTTAAAAATGAATGTGCATTAAAGTAGTTTAGCTGATGAAGGCTTTATTCAAGTCCATTTGTTTAAAAGCCTAATTTGACAATAACTAAAGCTAATTTTTCAGTGATCTGTTCCATCACTGAACCAAATTCTTTTACAAATTATTAGAATTATTTTTTGAGACAGGACTAATGAAGTTCCAGTCCATACATCTTACGAACATTTTATATCAAACATACAAAACTTTACAGCTCATGAGGTAGGCAGTGTCTAAAAAATTAGGTCCTAAAGAGCAAAAACATTTATATGTCTATTTAAACAGTGTCTTCTAAATTTTTTGTACCTTTGATTCATGCCTGGCCATTTGCTACGGTCACTGTGGAAGAAATGAGAACAACTTTTTAACCATTTGTGAAATGGGTCCATCTTTGCAAACATATTGCATTCCATGAGTAAAGAAAAAATCTTGGAAGAACCATGTGGTATAAATTTGTGAAATCAATTTCTGCATTTAAAACATAAAACAGAGACCACTAAACCGTTCAAAACTATTCCATTTGAATAGTTTAAACAAGAGCCAACTGCAGTACACTAAAATTACCAAAAATGAGACCTTTGAAATAAGTATTTCCATTCTTTTTTTTTTTTTTGGTCTTTTTCCTTTTTATTGGTACCGGGGATTGAACTCACGACTACCTGCTTGCAAGGCAGGTGCTTATGCCACTGAGCTAAATCCCAGCCCTGATATTTCCATTCTTTAAAAAAAGACTTAATAAATGTACATCTCATGGTCAGTGTACATATAGAAATCATCAGTTTAAACCATTATCAACGATGAGTCTGAAATAAAATGACCTAAGTTTTGTTTCTGTTAATATCCTCTAGAATGCCCATCTGCTCAGCTCCAACAATGGCTGAACATAAGTGAGTTTCTATCTACCTGGCACTACACAGAGGATAGTAAAGTCTGTCTTTTCACAGTGCTCTTCAATGGCACCAGATTCACATCTTCAGGAAGCCTTCTGAGTAGAATACATGAGTTTACATTTCCTATGTTTGCAGAAACCATTTAGGTTTTTCAGGGTAAGATGTGCAGTTTCCAATATAAACATCTCTTTGATTGCCAACATTTTTCACATCTGGTCAATATTGTCACTGATCATCTTTCTTATCTCAACAAACTAGTATCATCTGTATCTGTGAAATGTCCAAGATGCCTTCTACCAATTTGTTGTTGGAAGCAACTATTCAACTATAAGAACTGTGATTCTCAAACTATTTTGTCTGAGGTCCTGCTTGTGGCTCAAAAAAATCGAGGATTGCAAACATCTTTCATTCACCCATGTGCTTAATATCTATTGGTACTTTATTTAATATTTATTGATTCACTGTAAACAATAATAAACACATATCATCTATTAGCATCAGTAGCTATTGTTAAAATTGTCATATTCTTCAAAACAAAAGTTAGTAAGAAAAAGTAGCATTGTTTTATATTTTTGGCAAATATTTTTAATATGTGGAATAATAAAAGATAGCTGAGTTCTCATCGCTACTTCTGCATTCAGTCTTTGACATGTCAAAAACTCCCCTATACACTCAAGAAAGAAAGATAATAATTAAAGTAAATAGTACTTCCATAATATGAAATAGTTTTGATTTGAGAGAAGCATAAGGAAGACAAGCAATGTTTTGACATAGTGAAATAGCTTTGATCTGTAGGCCTCCTAAAGGAGTTTCAGTTACACCCTAGAAGTGAATAAACCACAAGTTGAGAATAGTTGCATTAGGAAAATTACAAATGTATTGATGCATTCCAATGTGGAGAAGAAATGAACTTTGGGACAGAAGTTTCACAGCAGGACTAGATCGTGGGAGGATGACCACGAAGTGAAGGATTTGGATCTTTCTCTGAGAGCACTGGGAAAACATGGATGGCTTTCAACTTTATTAGTCCTTTCAGTATGGATGATTAGTCTGTCAAAAAGTGAGCAGGATGGATTAGAAAGAGGCTGGAGCACAGAAATCAGTAAGGACACTGTAAAGAGGCGGTGTGCCGTTATATATCTGGAACCAGGCTTCAGGATTTTCATGACAGTTAGACATGTTAATCAATAGGAACTGCAGAGAACAAAGACCAAGGCAAAATAAACACTTTGTATGAAAAGCACTTGTAGGAGATGTAGATTTTCAAATATTAGCAGTAATACTATTGCTATTACTAATAGTACTAGATGAGCAGAAACAAAAACCTGAACTAGGCTGAATTACAGAGACATTTTGCAATACTGTTCAAAGAATATATGCAATGTCATTCAGAAATACTGTGAATAATTTAATTAAAGTTTGTTGCAGCAAAATATCACATTGTTATTAATTTCCCCCAAACTTTTCCCTCTTGCTTTGAACATCCTCTCATTCTTGCAAATTTTGAAGCAATTCGAGATGTCCTCGTTCATGAGTATCTTTAGTTGTGTTGTCATGGCTGTGTTAATGTCCTGAATCCATTAAAAACATCTGTTTTTTGTGGCCATTTTGATTTTGGGGAAGAACCAGAAGTTTCACAGTGTTGGGTCCAGTGAATAAAGTAAATGAGTTCACTCGAAACTGCTTTTAGGAGCCTGACTTTCCAGTGATGGTAAGTCAGCAGCAGCAGTCACCGCAGTTTTGGTCAGACCTTGTACAAACCCTCAGAAAGCGGACCTCCAGAACTGCTTCAGAAAGTGGAAAGAATATGGAGTAACTGTCTTTGAAGCAAGGGAGAGTAATTTAGTGAGGATTAATAGTAATGTGTCTTTTACTGTAATCGTTTTTTATTTAAAACCTAATTTTTTATTTAACACAACATATATTTGTTGCTGTTATTGTTGTTATTTTGTTGTTGTTTTGTACCAGGAATCAAACTCAGGAACTTGTACTTGCAAGGCAGGCACTTACGCCACTGAGCTATATCCCTGGCCAAAACACCTACATATATTTTGAACAGCTCTTGTAGTTGATTAGATGAGGGGTGAGAACATTTTAAAAACCATCAAAATAGTAGTGTTTTGCCATTTGACCAATTTGGCAGCTCAAGAAATTTTCTGAGATTGTATTCTCAAAAAGTGTTTGAAAGAGAGGGAAGGAGAAGGGAAGAATAGAAGGCAATGGAGCTTAATGGGGGCAAAGAAGATGAATTTGAGTCTGCTGGTTCTGAGGCACCAGTGGAACATGCATACGGTGAGGACTCTAAACAGACAACACAGTGTCTCTTACATCAGCTCATGTCCCCTCTATGCGGAAAGCTCTTTCAGAGATTTATTACCTACTTTGGATTTTATTCTAATATGACAGCTTGCTGGTCAATGTGTTGGGGCCCCGATTACCTTTCCAGTTTCATGGTAGGCCAGCCTCCCATTTCCCAATATTTCACTTCCGGAACCGTCAGATCTGTTCCTCATTTGGAGTTACTTGCACTAAAATTTGTTTCTTTCAAATGCCCCACATTTCACACCAATCCTTGACATACTTGGCTCCTTTGAGCTGGCTGAAATGTCACCTCTGAAACATAGCCTCCATGGATAGCCCTTTCCTGATAGTTTTAGCCAAGTAAACCTGCCTTCTCTTCCATTTTTTACCTTTCACAAAATCGTATTCATCATTTTTCATACCAAAAGCTTCATGAGGACAAGGAATTTAAATTATTGACATAACACTTAGCTCCTCAGTGTATAGTTGGTCCCCACATCAGTGAGTTCTGCATCTATGGAACAAACTAAGGGTGTAAGATATTCATAAAACATTTGAGTCCCTACTCAACATGTATAGACTTTTCCCTTGCCATTACTGCCTAAGCAATATAGAATAACAACAATTCATATAGCATTTACATTTTGTTGTTAAGTAATCTAAAGATAAGTTATCTGAGAAGATGTTCATTGGTTACACACAAATACTGTTGTTAGAGTTTTTATCTGGATGTCCCATTGAAATCTCATGTGCTCAGAAGTGGGGTATTGGGGGGGGCGTGGTTGGACCATGGGGCTGTGATACCTATCAGTGGATTAGCCCACTGGTGAGGTTGTAGGTAAATGTGATGTGGGAGGTAGAGTCTGGTTGGAATCGTGGGTGTCTGGGGTGTGGCTTGGAAGGGGTTCTCCCTTCCCCACTCCCCCTTTACTCTCTGCTTCCTGTCTGCCATGCCACGAACAGCTTCTTCTCTGCCATGCCCCTGTGCCATGCTGTCCTGCCTCGGAGCCAGCGGACTATGGACTGAAACCTCTACAAACTGTGAGCCAAAACAAACCTCTCCTCCTTTAAGTTGTGGGTGTTGGGAAACGTGTCTCAGCTATGAGAATATGATTAAGGCAACTATGTTATTTTACATAAGAAACTTGTGCATCCACAGATTTTAGTATCCCTGGGGGCGGGGGTTCCTGGATCCATTTCTCCACAGATATCAAGGGATTACTGTATTAGTTTCATGAGTATATAAATGAAATTCAAACGGTTGATTAAAGTGGGGAAAAAACAGCACTAGGAATGTAGGAGAGTCTGTCCTTAGGTTTGAATTTATTTGAGATGTTTTAAGTTAGCACCAATAAGCCAGTAATCTATAATGGGGGATTCTTGTTTGTATTTCACTTTAAAATAGAGTTGCTTCATGTGTGAAATCATCTCATCTATATTTATTCGTAATGCCACCTAGAACATTAAATTCTGAAAGTTGCCAAGGTAGCATCGGTGACACAGGGCTCCCTGCAAATGGCAACAGCGCATCCGGTGCCTTGAGTCCCAGTGATGAATAAGTCTCTTGCTTCCTCACTGTGACTTTTGTACCCTGTGAGCTACCCCACCTTTGTGTGTTCAAAGGCTCTTGATGAAGGAACCTAGTTTGGCTCAGGTGCATTTCCTAGCTGACACTTACTTTAACCCTTATTCTTTGAGTTGATCTACCAGCACATCTCAGCTGTGAATGCTAAAAATAACACTGCTCTTAAAGGTGTCTTGATATTTCTAATAAAACATCTAACAACGAAAGAGCATAGCTCAATAAATTTCAACTTCTCCAGTCATTGAAATAGATAATTGTCAAGTTGAGTACTATAGGATACCTTTTTGAAAATAATTTTCACTCAGAACTTTGAAGTTGTTGCTGCAGTGTTTTTTAGAGGCCAATGTTACAGAAAAGAAATATCCAGTGACATTCTTACAGTTACTACCATCAAGATAGATAGATAGATGTCGTATATCAACCTTCTGTTTTCTTCCAGAAGGTTTTTAGCATATTATGTTTATCCTGGATGTTGTAAAAAATACACACTACTTTTGTAGTAATAGGTTGCTTAAAAATAGTATAAATAACCAATTAGTCCTCTTAGTCTCAAGAACTTGCAATTTTCAGTTGAAGTATATTTTCTTTAAGCATTTCTTAATAACATCCTTATTTCCTAATTCTCTCTGTGTTGGATGGAGGCTTGAATTCACATAATAATCTCCTAATCATTTTGTTGCTGTTTTTTCCCCTTCACCTTTTTGCCCTACGTTTTATAAAATGATCCGGTCTATACACTCTACTTTTTAATGATTTAAAAGACAATTTGCTGGGGCTGGGGATTTAGCTCAGCGGCATAAGCTCCTGCCTTGCAAGTGCATGGTTGTGAGTTCAATCCCTGGTACCAATAAAAAATAAATAAATAAATAAAATAAAAATAGACTTTTAAAAAATAAATAAAAGACAATTTGCCTTTTTAAACTTTGTGAAATTTTTCTTATAATCTGCCTATTTTAAATAGTATTTTGTTACCAACTTGTAGATTTAAAACATTTCTGCATGTACTAGTTAGGATGTGTTTATCTTCACAAAAGTATGTCTGTTCCTTCCAGCATACATTTTTATGTTTATTTGTATTGACCTTTGTACTTCCTGCACGTTGTAGGTTTCACTCAATTGACTAGATGATCTCACATTGCCCAGTCATATGTGAGAGTGAATCCATACAACGGTTGAGTGCACATGAATGGAGCGTATTGACTGGCTGGCTTCATTAATGAGTGAGCATGCTCTGAAGTAATTCTGCATTTTGGAAACCTTGAATGCCAAATGCAGAGCACTTTGCTCTGGAAACTGAACTCTTGCACTTAGCACCTGAGTCCTTTCCAGAGTATTTATTTTATTCTTGCAAAAGGGAGAACTGTCTGTGATTTCTCCTATGGTGGCGTACAGAGAAGAGTTGAATGGTGGAGATGGACAGCAATTGAGTCCATTTTTCTCTCAGTGGGTTTTAGCTTCCCTTCATCTTTCAGCTCTTGCTTCATGTAATTTTTGGCAAGTCCTAAACTGTCCAGGCTTTAGCAAGGTACATAAATACGCTCATTGGTTGTGCCATTCATCTTTCATCATGCTTCCATCCACTTTTATTCTCTCAGAAACGTGTGAAAGCCACAGTCTACTTAATATCCCTCTATATTCTCTTCACTGTTGTGAGATTCCATTTTTGCTCCTTTAGTAGCATTTTACAGCATCCTTGGAGGGAAAAAGAGATACACAATGGAGGACTACTCTGCCATAAAGAAACATAAACTTAAGTCATTTGTAGGAAAATGGATGCACCCCAAGACCATATTGTTAAGTTAAATAAATAAGACACACGAACTTGAGTGTCACGTAGTTTCTCTTATAGGAAAAGCCCCAGTTATAAGTTGAAGGGAAAAATAAAAGGTAGAAAATAGGAAACAGGGAGATAGAGCTTTTGCAGACGGAAAGGGGACCAAGAGATGGAGGGAAAAGGAGGGAGGAAGGGGATGAAAAAGAAGTGAGATGTGTTATGTGCATGATGAATGCAATCATTATGTATACAGTCATGTACCAATAAAAAAGGCAATATGTATTTTCCTTTTCTACTTGTCCAAAGTCAGGAAAAAGTATTAATGTTTTAAGAAGGTAAGTCAACCTTCTTTAGTCATTCTGATTCTATATCCTGGAGCTTTTGTTTGAAAGTAGAAAAGCCATCTTCTTTGACAGCCCAATCCTCTGCTGTCTCCCAATTATACCAATGTTTCAGATGTTGACAGCCCCCTCTGATTTTACGGCTAAAATCTTGGAATATTGAGTTGTATTTCATGTGTAGGTGTGTAATGTTCTGAGTAACAGGGAAGTGAATCAACAAAAAATAGATGGTCTTAAAATTTTTTAAACAACAAACAGTTCAAGGATTTCTTTATAATTGAACACACTTTTTCCCCCAAAGAAACATCATCCTGCTAACTGTTGAGGTATTCTCTTCAAAGAATGAAGGAAATGATAGCTTTTTGATGTTTTATTAACTACTTTTGTATAAGCTTACTGAATAGGGGCCTGGAACAGATTTCCCTAGGAAAATGTAAATGAAGTCATTATGGTCTGGAGTGGAGGAAAGCTAGATTTGAACCCGAGATCTGTCACATTTTTCTTGCTCTAAGTTGACATCTCTGAGTTTCACCTTTCTCAGTGATAACCCAAATATCTCCTCCTGGGCAAGAGCAATAATGAGCACAATGCTTGGCAGGTGCTAAGCACCTGTCCAGTGGCAGCTGATGCAATTATGAGCTAAACAGACTTTGTAATGTCATTGCCTAGCTATACACACACACACACACACACACACACACACACACACACACACATATATATATATATATATATATATATATATATACCTTCTTTGTAGACATATCAAAGATTGTGTAACTACAAACATCTTAAACTAAGCTCTTTTAAATGTCTCTCTCTGTCCCTCTGCTTTTGTTTAAGCTCTCCCCACTTTGCTTAACCCTCAGAGTATTAGAAAACTGAGCCAGGCTACCACCTAGTCAATATTATTTAGCCCCAGTGAACTGCTAAACATTAATGCTTCCTTGACACTGTTTGTTTTGCCATTTTAACAATTACTTATTGAGAAAGCACCGACTGGTCTGTGACATAACAGACTTTGATGTCTCCCAATTATGCATGCATTATGCAATCTATGAGTTGAAGCTATTGTGCTTTCCTGTGGTAGAGATGAACTTCGCAGCTCCATGTTTGCCTAATGAGATAGAATCCAGGAGCTGGGCAGAAGAGGTTCTTTTGACAGCATTAATTTCCAGAGAAGCTCTAAATGTACTATAAGGTGCTATGAAAAATGCAAGTATTGCTATTTGTTATGAATTTACTTGCTTCAGATATATTACTTAATAATTGTTTTCAAAGGGAGGAGTAAAAGTTCTGGGATTTAATTTAAATCAGCCATGATTATTGAGCTGTATAATGTACCAAAATAAACCACAAAACTTATGAGAACTGGAGGTTTTAATTAATGTATGCATTTAACAAACTTTTGTGTGTCAGGCACTCTACTTAGGCTTGGGGAATCCAGTAGTGAATAACAAAGACAAGATTCTCTCAGGAGCTTACTGTGTGTTGGAAGAAATAATTACTAAATGAACAAATGATTATTCCATGCCATTTCTGGTGCTAGCACCTTGTTAGGTACAGATACAGCAGTAAGACATAGCCCTAACTAAGATCTCACAGAAGAAAAGATGGTGCCCAGATATAACAGAGAAAGACCTCTATTTTCAGCCTGCTTTTAGGAAACTTGTGAATTAGCAAGAGGAAGAAAAGAGGAAAATTTCAGGAAGAAGAAAAAAATATATAGAAAAGAATGTATGACAAGTTGGAGAATCCTAATAGTTTGCATGAGGTTCTCAGTGTGGACTGTGAGGTCCTGATTAATACTGTATGAAATAAGGGTTTAAAAATAGATGGGTAACCAAATTTTAGGCAGTACTGAGTCTTGCGTTTGTCTTTTCCTAAGAGTTAAAGGAACCCATTTCAGGCATATCAGGAGGGTACCTGGCATGGTCAGATGTGGCTTTAGGAAGTAATCATGCTTGGGGCAACACAGAGAAGGGATCTATTGAGAAGCCACCTCGGGGGAGCACAGCTTAGAGAAGATGATGGCCCGCACTAAATCAGTGGCTGTGTGAATGGACACTTATGGACAGATTTTTAAGTCTGCTAAGGATTTGGAATTTACAGGATTTCCCAGCTGTCTGGATGTAAGAAAAAGGACATTAGAAATGTCTTCCAAGTTTCTAGCTTGGCAGCTAGATGGGTGGTAGGCACCAATGGAAAGAGGAATGATTTGCTTCATCTGTGCATTTCCTTTTGATGAACGTAGGCATAAGTTACTTTAATTATCTTGTAAGGGTTGTCTACAGAACAATACTAAATAGCAGATGCAAGGAACATGGTCAGTAAAGATCAG